TTGATTGGGATTTTCAACAGAAATAATAGAGTTGCGTATGGTTCGCCAACAAAAATTTCAATTCATTCTCAATAGCATACAAGTCATAGATTTTAGAGACAATTTAAAATTACTGTGTTATTAATTAGTATAAATTTGAATAAATGGTATCTTAAAAATTAAGAATGTGGTAAATAAAAAAATGGTGCCGGATATCCCATTTTGGGCACTTTCATTGGGTATCATGGTCCTCTTGGTTTTTGAGATACAAGGTGAAATCCAAAACTACGTCCACTTTAAAGTAATTGAAGTGCTTAAAAACTTTCTTATAGACTTATATTTTTTCCATAGAATCTTACCGTTCATTTGTTATGAAGTAAACTTTTTTTTTAAATAGAACACCCTGTATAAAATTTCTATATAAGTTGTTTAATTTTTTTTTATATTTTATTTAATTTGAATCCGTTAGCCATGAATAATCTATGAAAAACAATATCCAAGTAAACAATTGTTATATATACTTATAATTCAATTATTTAAATATGTTATATACGTTATGAACTACTATCTGCGATAATTATATCTAAAACTGTTGTTAAAATTGGAGACCATTTTCTCGAATGATAAACTACCACATTTTTCTTATCTTTTTAATGACATTTAAAAGAATTATTTGTCACTTTCCTAGTTTCTAAACTTAAACTAATGGGCCTTTGAAGTTCTGCTATAGACGTTTATAGCGTTTTATATACTTCATTTCACTTCGTTTATCTTACAGGTCCATCGGTGGGTACTGATCCATTTTTGAGGGAAATTGTCATTTAAAAAGGGCTTTAAAAGTCGAGAGTTATGACTTGGGGCATCATCTTGCTTAACGTATTATTATAATATTATTATTATTACAAAGAATAAAGTGCAGAGGAGAACCTATTATGCACATTGATAGTTAGTTGCATAATACATATAATAAATATTTAGTTATTGCTGTGAAATAATACACTCTCCGTTCGGCGCACACACAACATCCGGGGTTAAACTGTTTCGATAATCGAAAGTCCTTTACTTATAAAATGCAGGCGATGTGAAGTCCTGAATTGTTCCTTTCTTATTTTAAATGGATGACCACGTAGGCGTTCATCATTGCTTAAGACCAAAAAGGGAAATTGAAATTTGAATGAGATCCCATCCCAGCCGACGCTCTTTCCAGTCATGCAATAGCCATGGGTTCCAGACTGGGGAAGTAAATTCCAAGATGAGGCGAATGTAAGTGGTAAAAAGTCTGCAAGCTTTGCGAGGACTAGGATATTTAAAAGTCTTTTTTAACAAAAATAACGCGCAGTTTGCTTTCTTTGCGATATTTGATACATGTACAGACCACGCAAGATCACGACACTAACCATAAATAAAATTGCAAAAGATGACATCGTGGAGCCTATTGCTACGCTAAAGCCTAAAAAATCACGTGGACTAGTTAATATTCCACCCTATATTTTTGAAGCATGCAGGGAGCCCCTAGAGATTCTTTTTAATTTACTTTTAAAAACTCAAACATATCCGGATATCCGGAAATTTTCCAAAATCTGTCCAATACCACAGAGTAAGAAGCATAATAATATCGGTTTGATATGCTCGCCAAGAAAAATATTTGAAACGATCTGGCATAAGAAAATATATGGTCATGTCAGACCGGTACTTGCGGAGGAGCAGCATGGCTTCACGACGAAAAGATCCACTGCTCATTTTGTAGAAAAACCAAAAGAATATTTTTCTAAAGGGGTTGAGTTGTTAATATAGAGATGTAATAAGTGTATTGTAAGTTAAGAGGGATTATATTGAAAAATAATAAAAAATTGTTACTCTACTTTGCTTGCTTTGCTTTATGTGGTCGATATTTCGAATTGGGTGTTATTTGTTTGGAATGTTTATTTTTTACTCTCACTATTTATCGGTATAACGTAAACAATTATAATTCTGTCATTCGTAATATTGTGGACCCAGGCTGGTCCACACAATTTTGTCTAGATTTAGTGCGAGAAATGGTGATTTTCATTTGGATTTTTTTAAATATCTCGAAGAGCGTATGTGATAGACGAAAACCGTAAATACGAAAATTGTAGCCTTTGATACGGCCTATAACACTGTTTCAACGGATTAGCTATTGTTTGTACGAATTTTGATTTACGGTTAATAATTTACTCTCTAAAAGAACAATTTTCAGGGTCTTTTAGATTTTTGTCTATAACTAAAACACCTTGTATATAATGGAAAAAATGGGTGAAACAAAAGTTATAGCGCCGGGTCTCCCACGTATTACGGATGTAAAATTTTTTTAATGGCTTTGGAGAAAAAACTGTTTTTCTGGAAAAAATATTTCGCGTTATTTTATTGCTCCCGATTTAAAAAGTATAAATGCGGGTCCGGACTTCTACTTCTCTTCCAAGTCTGAAGTCGGTAGCCGCAAATTTAGAGTACTTATTATGTTTTTTAATATTGCACGGAATATCGCGAACTGACACCTAAAATACAGATTTGAAATTATTGCCAATTTTTAATAATAGGGGAACCCATTTTTCAGTTTTTTTGAATTTGCGGCGCACCCTGTATATTCTTGATAAATTATCACGAATAAAAGTTTGTAGAGCCGCATCTTCTGCTTCTTCTTCCCGACCCCTCAGCCCCACCATTTTCAATAGGTTCCATCAAGGGGCAAAGCTGCATATAGGTGCCAAATATGAAGTCGATTGCTTCAAATTTCGGACACTTATCGTGTTTCATAGCGACGTCCAAAAAACAGTCGGATCAGGGCATCTTACAAGTTTATGTGGCTCGTGGAGGGTTAAAAAGGGGGCAAATTTTAATTTTGTCGCTCCAACGGTTCGAAAGTTATTCAGGAAAAACCAAAAGACGAGAACGGAGAACAGACAAACAGACAAAAATTGTTTTTTTCGACGGTACCAACGGCCTATAGGACCTACCGTTATCGAGATATAAAATTTGTATATGAGCGCAGATACTTTCGAAAAATTCGATTTTTCTTTATGTTCATTTGAAAACTTCTTCTATGTTTTAATCAACAAACAGCAACAAAAATGAGCGTATGATGAATATTATCATTCGCGTTGAAAGAACTTATGATATTTGATGATAATATCGGCCACACTCCAAGCAATTTTCGAAAGTAACAAGGAATAATGTCACTTTTGAACTTCCTAGTGCTTACACTAACCTAGGACAGAATAATATATTGCACGGAATGTGTAACTTAAGAAATAGTGAACTGCATGATGTGGACATTTTTCAAATTGCTTTCTGCAACTTTCGAACTATAATTTTAAACAAACTCTAATATTGCTCATATTTCTTTTTTCTTTACTGTTAACTAATTAACTCATTAACTATTAAAAAGTAGCATGTTAATTTATTAGTTTAGTACATAGATGAAACTCTACCTTACGCATGTGTTCTCTTTTTTTTTGCATTAGCCTGTCGATTACCTTTCTTTAATAAATAAATAAATAAATAAATAAAAGGAGCACGGTGTCATGTAAACCGCGACTTTGTTATCTATGAAAAATGTTACATCCTATACATAAAATAGTGAATAAATATTTTGAGATCTCGTTTAAATCACACTTGATGGGAATTTTGACACCGTATATCAAATAACGAGCGCTTAATAATTCGATGCGGGAACATGATAATAATATAATGTTTGTCATAATAATAAGACATTATTGTTTGTAAAAAATATATTTTTATCCTGTTTCTTCGAAATTAAGTAAAGAGTCTCTTGCATAATATTAACTGGTTAGATTTTTAGTTGATTTAGTTGATTTAGTTTAGCCTGCTGCTATAAATAAAGCAAAAAAAAAATTCGTATATCATGTTTCTGCTTAAGTGATATCCGATTAACGTAAAATATAATAAATAGGGTAATCAATTTAAAAAAATATACGTTTTTTGTGTTGAAAAAATCCTATATGAACGTTTTTTAAACTCATTAAGAACTCATAAGACAACGAAGATACAAGAGCGGTCCTAAAATCGATAGTTTTATATTTCACCCTGTATCTCAAAAACCATGACAATTTTGTTGTCGGTATCGTCGATTTCACAAAAAAGGAGCAAAGTGTGATCCAATTCGCTACTCTGTTATCTTTAAGAATAACTGAGATACTCCGTAAAAGTTAACATTATAATAACATAATATTTGTCCGATTAATGACATTATTGTTTTTAAAAAATATATTTTTATCCTGTTTCTTCGAAATTAAGTAAAGAGTCTCTTGAATAGTAATAACTGGTTGGATGTATCTTATTTTTAGTTGATTTAGTTGAATTACAATGGCCTACTGCTATAAATAAAGGAAAAAATATATGTTTTTGAAAGGCTTAAATGATTTCCGATTAACGTAAAAGATAATAACTAATAAACGGTTAGAGCACACTGGATTCAACGGAAAAAATCACATATTAATGTTTTTTAAACTCTTCATATACTGTATCTCAAAAACCAAGACAGTTTTGTTGACGGTATCTTCGATTTGACAAAAAAAGACTTTGTTATCTTTAAGAAACTGCGATACTCCGTAAAATGGTACGTCCTGTACATAACATAGTGAATAAATATTCTGAGATCTCGTTTAAATCACACTTGATGAGAATTTTACACCGTGTATCAAATAACGGGCGTTTAATAATTCGATGCGCTTCCTGGACCGCTGCGCGGGTCCGAAAGCTCGCATCGTCCATAACTTTTTACGCCCTACGTCCGAACCAATAGCGCCGGTGACCGCTGTTACGCAAAACGCGTCCCTCCGAAAGCTTCCGTATCGTTTTAAAATAACACCGCGGCATTAACCGGAGTCCTCCCGGAACGTAACATCCGGACGCCCGCTAGCCTTCCCCCACCGTCGCGACACTCGCGCGCATCATCCCTACCACCGTACACACACACGTTTCTATCTCGCAGGACCGCTGGCTAGTAAGTAGCCCGTACGAGCTTTCGCGACGATCGACGACCGGCGCCGAAGTATCCACAGGCGCTTGAAAGCTGTCCGATGGATCTACACACGGCACACGCGATCCGAACATCGAAATAGCCAGTGGTCCAGGAACGCAGCTTCCGCAAGCTCGATCCACGCACGATACTGACCGATATATACATATATACGCGCACGTATTTAATTCGGACAGGCACCATCGAGTCGGAGCGACGCGTTGTCCAGTGACTTGTTATGTGCTATTTTGCGAGACTTTGCTGTTACCGGCGCAAAAAATGTGACGCGATCGCCGCGGTTGTCGTTGTTGTTTGTTTTCGGTGATCGTTTCGCAATGAACTGAGGGGGTGTTTTCGTTGTTCGTTTTGACGGGTGAGAGAGACTATAGCAAAAGCCGCCAACATGAGAATCAAAATGCCAGCAGTCAGGATCGCGCAAGGTAAGAGCCGTTATCGGCGAACTTTTTTTTTTTCTTGATTTTGTCGTCGCCGTTTGTGTACGCGCGGGCGCCCGGCCAATTAAAAGTTTCGCGCGGAACGGCAAAAATTAATAAGTTCCCGCGATGTGTATGCACGAGTCTTGCGCGAAGAATTTACGCGGTCCGGGAATCTTACGGGATCGTTTTCAGTGGCCTTTCGGCTGTTGACATCGCGGTTCGGGATAAAAATTGATTCCCGTTGGTCAAGACGGTATTCGCTTTTCGGACAGTGCGTCAAGTGCGTTATATCAACTTTTAAAAAAACAGTTATTTTTACTTGAAAAAACAGCATTTTTAGTTATTTTATCACAACTGATTGTTTAAAACCTGATAACTCTAAAGAGAATGTTTCTCGACCATTAGGAATATACGATTTTTAAGATACTCGTACTTTTCGTACTATTCTCGAATTTTTGCAAACGTACGCCTCCAATTTTCTTTGTCTTATTCTTGGTTTGTAAAACGGCGATTGTAAAAAATATATAATAGATCCGAAAAAAAAACTGAGTTATTTCAATTGCAGCCCTTCACAATACAATTTTTTGTTATCGCTAGCCTCTTTTTTCATCCCGTTCTTCAACTATAATTTACTTGTAATTTATTCAATCTAAGTTATGTTTTAGACAAATACTTGTCCTTCATAAACAAAGAAACATTGTATTTTTCGTTATACTTTTGCTTATAATATTCTTCAAATTTTTTTTTAAACTGCGCGCCTCAATTTTCTGCCGGTTTTGTAAAAATAAATTTTAAAAATTTTAATGATGAAATCTTCGACAGTTTCAACCTATTGGCGCGATTCAAAGAAGAGGACGATATAGATAGTTCTTTATTTCATAAATTGTTACCGATCTTACCCGATTTTTGTTATTTAGAAATTCCGTGATTTTCTAATTTCTAATCAAGTTCTAATAAACATGTTTTTTTCAAACCCTTTATTACTTAAAGAAATGAATAAATAAGATGCTATCGTTTATAGAGCATTCCCAATGGCGCTAATTCATTTGAAAATGCTTAATCAAATAAAAATGCTCACCAAATTCCTTAATTCATTTATTAGTGTAAATTCCACTTTTATTGTATTGTTTAAATTAATGAACGACTTATTACCCTTAAAAGTACTCAAGATCGCTTAAAACTTAAAAAAAAACTTCTAATGGTCTTTTTGTTTTATTTTTGGTAATTGCGAGTCTACTTTCCGAGTCATTTTTAGTGCCCCTTCGGCTGTTCGCATTGCTTTTCGGGATAAAAATTGATTCCCGTTGGTCAACACAGTATGCGCGTCTAGAACAGTGAGCGGTGTATAGATTTGATTAGTGTTTTTCAAGTGCGTTATATCAACTTTTAAAAAACTAGTTACTTTTATTGAAAAAACAGCATTTTTAGTTATTTTATCACGGCTGACTGATTGATCATCAGGAGTATACGATTTTTAAGATACCCGTACTTATCGTAGTATTCTTGAATTTTTGCAACCGCACGCCTGCACTTTTTTTGTCCTTTTTTTGTTTTGTAAAAATAAATTTGAAAATTTGAACGGCGAATGTAAAAATACAGTTTTACTTCAAAACCACCGACTTAAAAGTGGGGTCAAAAATAAACAAGTATAACTCATTTATTTAAGCGAAATTTGATGATACAAGCTGACTTAATAAAATATCGATAATTATCGGTTCTACCTGCAGTTGCGAATAGTGATTTATTAAAGCGTATGGAGACTTATTTGACATAGTTTCTTGCTTCTAAGACTGCCTAATTTTTTATCGTTCAAATAAAGTGTCTCAAATGATTTTTATTTTATTTTTATTACTCGTAGTGTTAAATGTAAGTTTAAGAAGAAAACTGAAAAAATGCTATGTGTACGGAGAATTTTATGTCCGACTGTATATAATAGATCCCCAAAAAACTGAGTTATTTCAATTGCAGCACTTGAAAATATAAATTTTTGTTACCGCTAGCCTCTTTTTTCATCCCGTTACTTAAATATTCATTTACTTGTTATTTATTCAAATCATGGCCCTTGGGGAGTATGCAAGGTCATTCAAAACTTAAAAATTTTCTATTTACATTTATTTTTGATTTTTTTTACTTGCAAGTTCTAAAACTAGTTCCGATTGGGCAAAATAATAAGTTCTCTCCCACAGTCTTGTTTTATACATTTTTTTTAAATTGATAATAGGGCAAAATTTACTGTTATATTTATCAAGGGGTTGGTTAGTTTTGGTTAGTTGGATCCAACTAAACAATATTGATAATAATTATTAAAAACTTAGGGACCAGGCTGTTCAAAGCGCTCAAAAATCTTTTATATATTCTTCAACGGTTTTGTAAAAATTAATTTTAAAAATTTGAATGTAGAAATCTTCTACAGTTTCAACAGATTATCGCTGTTCAAAGAAGGGGACGATTTTTTTTATAGATAAATAGACAGTTTTTTACTTCAAAAATTGATAGCCATGTTAAAAATAAATGAAATGAAAATAAATAAATAAATAAATACTCCGGAAAGCAAACCTTTCTTTATGGTATGTGTAATAACCATTTTTGAATAAGTGTTAAAGTGAAATTAATTTAAATAATTGATAACGATTGATATAACAATACCAATAAAAGCATTAAATCCAATTTTTTCCCAACCAGTTTTCTATTTGGCAGGGCTGTCACTATTTTGCACAGCTTTCTTTGAACACTTTTTCTGTGTTTTTATCGAATTTTTAGAATTAATGAAACCGTTTTTGCTAAAAGAAGAAGACTAAACAATAATAAATAAAGACGTGGAGATGGGTGTTATTATTATTATTAATTATTATTATTCTTGTTATTGTTAAATATACACGGTGTTCCATTTAAAAAGACAACATTTTCCTGTTTTTCTGTTTTCACAATCGTATTCACTCGAAGAAATGTTACTAGATCGAAATTTGGAAATTTTAAATTCGTTTTTTATGTCTTTGAAATTAGCGAAAATTTGATTACTTAGTAATTTTTGCGAACGTTTTTTTTTTAAATATCCTTTTGAACATTTCCCAACGAGTTTAATTCTTACCGGAGATTACGTTGCCAATTATCGATTAAATTCGTGGCGATCTAATTTTTTATGTGATTGTTGTTATTGTGCGCTAAGTTTGTTAATGTTCTGTGTCGATAAAGCTAAACTCAAGTGTTTTGCGAGATACCAAGCATCATTTAATTCGTAAACGGAAAAAAAATGCGTACACAGGGGCGTATCGAAAAATTCCCAATTACGCCAGTCATCTTTGGGGTTACGTCACTATTAAAAGCAATAAATTTAAGGTGGACAAAAGGGCCCGAAACTCTATTACTCCGTCGTGTGTCGCCCAGATAGGTATTCAAATTAATTCTTTAAAGACACGCGCCTGCACCCCATTTGAATATTAATTCAGGGGCGCATCTTCTTTTAATATTATCTATACGCGCGTAGCGTACTCGATCAACTTGCTACCTCACAAAAAGCTTAAAACTTTTTTTTGCCAACGACCTGGAACGTGTCCATCTTGTTTGCGGATGGGGTCCCGACTGAAAGGGGTGTTCTGTTTACGGTTATGCGGGAAAGTCGACTTAAACCCTTTTTTCGAAAGGTCCATGTGAACCGTGTGGTCAGCTTTAGTGGTCAATAGATACGGGAAATGGAAAAACTACCCAGGTAAAATGTAAATTTGTTTAACGGTCAGTTAATTGGGGCATTGTTGAATTTTCGACTGGTTCGGCTGCGTAAAATATATCCCATATTTTCAGTAACATATTTATTATTTTTGTTTGTTGATGATTTGTCATTAGTCGATATTCCGTTTCCAATGGATGTTGTTGTTCCTGGTATAGTTGACCAAGTGTTTGAGAGGAAACATTATTCGATGACCACTCTTGATTGTTTCGTGTCAACAATGACATTCTGAAAGTGATAAATTAGCTGTGAATAGAATTAAGTGGATTATAATTTAATAACAACGTGATTGAATTTAATTTTAGTATATTATGCAGCAAGTGCGGTAAACGGCATTTGACTCACGAGTTTACTTGACACGAGCGGAGCGAGTGTTTAATAATCGAGCGAGTTAAAAAGTTTACCGAACGTGTTGCATACTATACTTTTTCTACGACCTTTAGTTTTTGGGTATATTTTCGTAAAACAACACAAATACATTCACTGACATGACCGTCAGAGTTGACAGACGTCCAAATTGAAAGCTTGGAAAATATCTCCGAAAACATCCGATTGCTCCCAAATCCGTGCGGTAAAATCCCGGAAATGTCCGAAGTGGCTCGGATTCGTGAGAAAGGAAATTGACGTGGTAAAGTGATACTTCCCGCACGCTAGATCGGTGGGTAATTATTTATTTTATAGACGGGAGTAGAAAAAATAATTTTCAGTTTTCAATACGAGTATTAATATGAAGTTATATTGTGCATTTGATATATATTTTTTGAATGTGTTATCTAATTGCTGAAATAAATGTTATTATATTATCATTATGCATCCATTAAACGATGTTTAACTGAGAAAAATTTTGTTTTCGTGCAATTGATGTCTGCATCGTTTACAATATTTTGTATATTTTTATGAAGTATGTATATATATTTTATGAATATGGGTTTTTGATTAATGTCCATTGACCAATTTTGATTGACATTTGGTAATATTGGTTGTTGTGAGAAACGGCACATTTAGTAGTAATCAAATTAAGTTTAGTGGCGCTCTATGAGGCACCGTATCGAATATTGTTGAACAATAAAATTTGCACCACTATAAAACCGAAAATGCAACTTTTGGTATTTTCTATTTTTTTTTCAATTTTATGACATTTCTCTAATTCTTGTTATCCAGATTCCTCGAAATTTGATGTGTCGTGATAAGAAGCTAAATTAACCATAAACACATAAATAGCTGACTAGAAATACAGATCAGTTAAATTTGAGTGTGTGTTAAAATTTTGGAAAGTTTT